ATCACCTCAACTAACCAGACCGAAGAAGAGAGTTGGACAGCCAATGGTGGCCTCTCCTAATCAGAGGTAAGAAATCTCAGGACTTGAAACTACAGTTTCCATCGGTTCATGTAGATTCTGGCCAAATCCTGTTCTAAAACCTCAATACTAGTGCAAGAGGAGACCATCCTTGGTTTGAGTTAGCTTATAGAAGGGGAAAGGCTGGTCACATTATAGTTTCAAGCCAAACAAAAAGGAGTACTTAGTATAGGTGGTTCTATCCAACTGTTTTAAGACCTTTGGACCACGTGTAAACCCAGGAAGAAGCAAACAAGCCTGTAGGAAAACAGCTGCTGAACATCTTGTTCTCTGACTAGCAAGAAGCACTTCTACCAAAAAGTGTGGCTGGTTGTGATATCCTCCCAATGGACTCTGTCCTGAGGTGAGCGGTTCTGATAATGCTGCATTTTCTATTCATCGTCAGTGATTTGTCATTTAGCCAACAAGCAGGTTCCTTCACCTTCACCCCCTCTCTCCTGTAGGCAATGGGTGAGACAAAGGTGGTTTTAAGCATCAAAAACTTAAGTGTGTTAAGACCACCTCTCATAAAGGCCATAAGCCTGGGCTTCAAGACCTAATTTGGAAAACAAGGTCATAAATCAGATGATCTGATTGCAAACCTATTTTGTAATTACTTTTCACATTCCTGTTTTATCTTAATAGTATTGGTGTGAGTCCAGAGCAGTTTGTCTGGTAGCGGAGACCTGGTATTTCCTTATAGGTTTAATCAAATCTCTGGGGGTAGGCCTGGGCATATTTTGTTTTTACAGCTTCCATGTTCTAATGGGGAAATAGTATTGGCCCTCTGATTTAAACTCTTGTTCCTTCATCCAGGTTGCATGGATAATGAATCTGGTTTTCTCTCTAAAGCCAAATACCTAGTCCCCAGCCCTTATAGCACACAGAGTCTCCAGAAAAGTTAGCTGCAGGCATTAGTCATTATAGTAATAATTGCTGCTGCTGTTTTGTAGTAGAGATTAGTGGAAGGAAGACCTCACCTCCACACTGATCTTTTTAAAAATCTTAGACACTTCTCTCCTACTCCTCCTTTTTTAAACTGGTCTTTCTCAGTCTCTCTTGGTGAATCCTGTTTCTTTACTACCCCTTAAATAAACGTTGATGTGCCCAGGCCTCCTTTTACACTGTATCTTTTCCCCAGTGATCTCATCCCACTCTCTTGGATTTCACTACGCCCAAATTGAAGTCACTAACCCAGGGTTCTTCCCCTGCATTTGCAAAGCAATAATATGCCCATCTTCTTATTTTCCCTATTGTATTAGTTGAGACTACTTAGCCACCAAGACTCTCAAGCCAAAAGATTGAGAATTATCCAAACTCTCCCTTTCCCTCACTCCCACCCATATTCCTCTTATTCTTACTCTCCAGCACTGCTAAAAGCACTTCATTTAGGCATGTACCATTTTGTAAGAGACTCAAAAACCTTTTTGGGGGATAGAAAATATACATACCTTTGCTACCCAAAATGTGATTCTGAGGACTTGAAGCATCTGCATTACCTGGGATTGTATTAAAAATCCAGAATCTCCCCATGGACCTACTGTATCAGAATTCTCATTTTAACATGATCTGCACGTGACTTATATGCACATTAAGGTTTGAGAAGCACTGATTTATAAAATACAAATTTTAAAAAATGAGTAAAGAAATTAGAGCTAAGGGAAAATATGAAGTCAGAGCTGAGGTCATATTGGTAAATGCATGCAAATAGCCCACTTAGTTTTTGGGGGGTGGGAATGGGGCAGTACTGATTTTGAGGAATAAACAGAGGACAACTGTATGAAGTCAAGATTTTCAGTGTGTATAGGTACTAGACTTAACTCTTCTACCATGTCTCTGGCCTATCATTTTGTGCCTACATCAAAAAATCTTATCTTCAAGGCCAAATTCTCTCCGACTTTCCTTTTCTGAAAGCTAAAGACCAAGGTCTCATCACCGCTGGCCCTCTTTTCCTCCCGCCCCCCTTCCTTAGTTGCAGAGATCAGTGGACAAGTTTCCCCACTGGTGATGCCTCATGTTAACTTCCCCTACCCCCCAGCTTTTACTTCTTTTAATTAAATTAGTACAGGTATCCCTTCTTCAGAAAGCCAGCCAGCCCTCCATGACCTTACCCTTCCTGCTGTGCTCCAGGCCATTCTAGGTGCCTTTCACCCTATACTATTGTTGCTTATGGAAGGCAGTATACAGCAGTGCTGAAGGGTACAGGCCCTGGAATCAGATGCACTCAGGTTTGATTCCCAGCGTCCTCTCCTAGAGGATGCATAACTTTGGCTACTAACCGTGCTTTACTGTCCAAACTGCTGCAAGGAATGGATGAGTAAATACTGGACAGCAACACTTGCCCTCCCTCACCTGCCCCCAATGCCCAGCTGTAAACAGGTTGTTCAGTGCTAGGCCTGGGACTCAGACCCTTTCCAGCTTTCTCTGAGCCAAGGCGTGGTCCCTAGCGGGTAGGGCGGGCCCACCGGCTTGAATGACGGCACGTGGCCCGCCCCGGGCGTGACGTCGTCCTAGTGTAGCCCGTGGCTGCACGTGGTCGGCTGAGTCCGCCTCAGACTGAGCAGTGCTCCGCGACCTCAGCACCAGCTGGTTACCTTCCTGCTTCTGCTCGCTATGTCCACGTCCACAAGCTGCCCGATTCCCGGGGGTCGGAACCGGCTGCCCGACTGCTACAGCACCACGCCGGGGGGCACGCTATACGCCACTACCCCGGGAGGTCAGCTGGCCGGGCTGGGGTCTGCAGGCTGCGGGCAAACCAGCGCGTTAGTGCTATCATGGGGCGGGGGTGTGGATTTGCGGGCCTTGGACGCGTGCGCAGGCCCCTCTGCTGATTGTACCTTTGGGGGAGGATCTTTGGAGCCAAAGCTCAGTTCCCAAAAACCTTGAAGTGATGCAGTAAGGCCATAAGCCTAGCTTCTGGGTATTTGTGGCTGTAATTCTTCTCAGGGGTCTGGGTTCTGGGCTCCTTGCGCATGCTCCCACCCCTAGCGACTTTGCCTCCTGGGTATAGGAGCCGAGGCCCCTGAGTGTAGCCTCAGCAAGCACCGGGTGATGCAAAACTAGAGCAGTTGGGGGTGGGTGCTCCGTTTACGTGCAGCTGGCTGGAGGCTGTTTGGTTGGGCCAGCAGCCTGGGATCACGAGCTACTGGGCTCCCGACCCAGAGATTCCTGCCACGTGGGAGGGGAGGGGAGAGAACAGGGTGGGGCCTTTTGAGGACACCTCACAGGCCAAGTTCTTCTGGGCTAGGCAGAGCCTTAGGGGACTTGGGAGCGGTCAGGATAAGAACAGCGTGTCCCTGTGTTTCACTGGGAACGAGCTCCTCCCTGCAAGAGATAATAGCCCAGGTGGTACCCCTGGATGAAACCCTTCACAACTGCTATTTGGCTTCTTGATCCAAGTGAGTCTTGTGAACCAAAGCAAGGAAGTTCCAAAGCAGTAGCCTGAAGTACCTGAGCTCCAAGTTTGGTGCTCTTCTTAGAGCCAAGACCTCATGTTCCTCCAAACCTAAAGCCCCTGCCTGAACCAGCTGGGATGCCCCACTTGCTTTCTGGTTTTTAGCCACATCTTAGGCCTGGAAGAATTTTAACTGCTGTCAGTTAAGATCCTAGCAGGACTGCAGAGCAGATGCCCTTTGATACACAGGGAAATGTGACACCACAACCCCCAGTTCCCAGAAGTCCTGTATGGGGCTCCAATCAACTCTGTACCCAAACTCCTGACTCTTACCTTAGCCCCTACCCTTTGACAGGCACCAGGATCATCTACGACCGAAAGTTCCTGCTGGAGTGCAAGAACTCACCCATTGCCCGGACACCCCCCTGCTGCCTCCCTCAGATTCCCGGGGTCACAACTCCCCCAACAGCCCCACCCTCCAAGCTGGAGGAACTGAAGGAGCAGAAGGAGACAGAGGAAGAGATACCCGGTAAGAAAAGCAGGAATTAAGAATTGCCCCACCCTGTCAGTTCAAATGCTCCTGTGAAGTAGAGTGGGGATTCATTTCCAAGAGGGGTTTCTGCACCGATGCTGTGAGTCTGTAGACTCTCAGACCAGCAACCAGTCTTCCTGCCTTTTCTCTCTCCAGATGATGCACAATTTGAAATGGACATCTAATCCAGTGCAGATGACCGTGTGTGTGTGGAATTATAGAGGGATCCCTCAGCCACTGCTGCCACCACCTCTTCTGGGGTATCCAAAGGCTAGCTGGCCTCATCTAATCTGGAAGGGAGTGATTCTTGGTTCTGGGCCTCCTCTAGTTCTGAGGCAGCTAGACCAGGGATAGGAGTGGGCAACTTGCCAAGCCCTTGGCTCTGCTTTCTCTTTGGTTTGTAGGGACTCCTCTCAACCCCAAGCCCTCTATGCTTAGGGGCTGGGACTGTAGGGGATGGAGTATGTCACCTTCTGGCTGCTTAGTAAACATTCAGAGAAATGCCTTGGCTCCAGTGTTCTCCTCAATGCTGATCTCCCCATTTCAGCCATATAGTTGAGGGCCCCCGGTTCATTCATTCTCAGCTTCCACCAGGCCCACTTTTAGCAGCAATGAGGCAGGCTACTGAAGCTGCCAAGCCATAAACAGCAATAGCCTGGCCCTTGCCAAAGGCTGTTCCTGTCTTTCTAGGAAGCAGCATTCCTGGAACTGAGCCTCCACAGCAGCTCCTCCCCTATCCAAAGCACGACTTTTGGAAAAGAGGGGCTGTCCCTGCCTATAGTCATCCCCAGTCTTTCCCCCATGCCTTTTCTGCTTCCCACTGGTCCCCCTATTCCAACACTGAAAGCATTATAACCTCCCTTCTCACAAGATATCCACAAAAGACCTCTCTGTCCCTGTCCCTTTCCATTCTGCTGCTGTTCTCCAAGGGTTAGAATAGGCTTTAGGGCCCACGTTGAAGGCCAATATGAGGCAGATGCTTGTGTGGTGAGTCAGATAAAGTTATGATCCCAAACCTCAGTAATCTGTTCTTTTTATCCTTCAGTTTACACAGCAAAACCCCCATTGTGGTTCTAAGCTCTGTGGCACATATATATACATATATATATACACACACACCTCAGGGGTGATATAGTGCAAACAGGATTGTCTTTTCTTCTTGTTGAGGGAAAAGTCTCCCCGTGCTGTTTGAGCCTGTTCTCAGGCTGGGCCTCCAGCCTGTCTTTGGATGAAATCATCCAAAGACAGGGCTGCTCTGCCCAGTGAGGGATGTCCTCTTCAGTCTTAATTTTGGGGAAAGCGGTAGTCAGCAATTGAGTCATGCCCAGCAAGGCCCTTCATGATGAGTGGAGGAAGAACAGAGGTTTGCAGGGTGCACAGTGAGCAGGGAAGTTGAGGACACCAGAGGGGACTAGTGTGGCATGGGAAAGGCTTATCTCTCCTACCTACCCAAAGCCCACCACTGAGATGCTTTTATTGAATTGCATGTGTTAATGGGTAACAAATGACCTCCCCCTGGCTCAGGCAGAACCTCTCCCACAGAGGTAAGTCAGGCTGAATAAGACAGAGAACCTCCCTGGTGGTAAGAGAAAGCCAAGTGAAAGGCCTCCCACACCAAGGCATAGGAGATTGTGTCAGGTGAGTCTGGGGAACCACAGGATTATGGAGCCTGCTGGAAGCCTGGTATGGTCTGGTTCTCCTCAGCTGTGGCAGCAGATTTCTCCTCATTGGCCTCCTCTGAAGACAGGCTCCTCTTTTCCGCAATTAACCTTTTAACTCCCACCATCCACTGACTGACCTCAGTCACATGGTCGACCATAAGTGAGCGGTGGATGTCATCTGCTGCATCCCACTGGTGGTTTGAAAGCTCTGAGGAAAGAGAGGGGTTGAGCAAGCAGCCTGGGGTAAAAAAAAAAACAGCTCCCATACCTCCCCTCCCAATCAGTCAAAATCTCAGCACCTATTCCAGCTCAGCTAATCATGGCAATGACGGACTTAGGCTATACCAGGGAACCCACCCATACCTTGCACCAGTATAGCCATCCTCTTCTTTACAGGCATTGACAACTTCCCTGCAGCCCACTGTTCCTGCAGCAGTGCCAGGCGTCGACTGATGTCATCACATACCTGCTTCTGAGACAGAAGCCCCCTCCAATTCAGTGCTGCCAACCCAACGGGGAGGGGATGGCAGCACCATGTAGGAAGCACCTGCTTTCTCTGGCCTAGGAATTTTACACTTCAGAGTTCTGGTTCTTTACCCAAAAGTTAGCAGCACCCACTGAGAACCTGATGAAACCTATGGATCTCCTCCCAAGAAAAATGCATGTATGGCTAGAATTTTTTTAAGTTTCAAAGGCTTCTCAGAAACTCATGTTACTTCACAAATAAGGAAACTAAAAGCCAAAGAGGTGAAATAACCATGCCACTCCCTCTTTTTTTCCTTTAAGACATTCCTTAGATAGATCCCTTGCCTCCACAGACTTAGGAAACAGTATAAACGAGATTTCTTTCTTCCCGACTGAGCACAGTATAAATTTCCTGAGAACAAAATCAGCAGGATCTGCTCTGAATGGCTTGGAGGTACAGAAAATCTGGCTGTTACCATTCACTAATGGGAGCTGAATTCAACTCTTGTTCCCACAAGCCTCTTCTATTGAAGTCCTCTGAACCCTCCTGAAATCTTGTATTCATTTTTCTGGGAAGGCCCTAGCAGATTCTGAAAAGGTCTATAACTAAAAGAATTAATAGCCACTGCCCTACAGTGTGGGAGCTGTACCCACATCACATCTGGCTATGATTGGGAGCCCTCTCCACCCTCTGGAGTGCCAGGGCTTACCCTCGTGTGGCCACGGCAGTCCTCCAATGCCTGTTCCAAAGGTCCCAGCACATCCTCCATCAGAGCTTCAGACTCAACTGGGAAACTTGTGGGCTCCACACCAAAAGCAGGACAACTCCCCACAGGTGGGGGCCTGGGAACCTTACTTGAAGGAGGTGGAGGCCCCATTGCGGGGAGCCCAGAAGTCTCTGAGGTGGGGACTGAAAAGGTAAGAGCAGGATCGAGCAAGATGACTTAATTAGGCAAGAAGCTCAATGCTAAATTTGCCCCTTCTAAGAAGGGCTTCTAGGACAACTCATTCAAAACTGTATTTATGCAGTCCTTACCATATGCCAATGTGCTAGGGACCAAAGGTAAAGTAAACCAGGCATGGCGCAGTGGCGCACGCCTGTAATCCTAGCACTCTGGGAGGCCCAGGTAGGCGGATCGCTCAAGCTCAGGAGTTCGAAACCAGCCAGAGCAAGAGCGAGACCCCACCTCTACTAAAAATGGAAAGCAATTAATTGGCTAACTAAAAATATGTATAGAAAAAAATTAGCCGGTCATGGGGGCGCATGCCTGTAGTCCCAGCTACTTGGGAGGCTGAGGCAGGAGGATCGCTTGAGCCTTGGAGTTTGAGGTTGCTGTGAGCTAGGCTGACGCCACGGCACTCTACCCCAGGCAACAGAGTGAGACTCTGTCTCAAAAAAAAAAAGAAAAGTAAACCAGAAAGATTAGGTTTCTGATCTCAGAAAGCTCAAATTGTAGAAGGAAGGGGGAAAAAAACACAAGAAAATTACCAAATTGTGTTACATGCTACCAAGAAATAAAATGGATTATGTAATAAAGATGAACAGGGGGATCTATCTAAACTAAGGATTCAAGGAAGGTCTTCTGATGTGTCAACTAAGTTTATCCCAGCTCACCCACGCTGACCTTCAGCGAGTTACTTTTAACCTCTAAGCTTGGGTTCAAACTTAGCTGGTTTTAGATTTTGTATTTTTAGTTTTTGAGAGTCTCACTCTGTTGCCCTGGCTAGAGTACAGCGGCATCATCATAGCTCACTGCAGCCTCAAACTCTTGGGCTCAAGCGATGCTCCTGCCTCCATGTCCCGAGTAGCTGGGACTACAAAAGCACACCATCACGCTCAGCTACTGTTTTCTATTTTTAGTAGAGATGAGGTCTCACTCTTGCTCAGACTGGTCTTGAACCTCTGACCTCAAGCAATCCTTCTGCATCAGCCTCCCAGAGTGCTACAGGTGTGAGCCACTGTGCCCAGCCTTAGCTGTTTTATTAAGTTGAGAAATAATGGATGAGACAGATATAGCTATGAAGAGTTGAAAGAATGTGTACCAGGTATAGCTAAGAGCAATGACTAAGATGCAGGAAAAGTGTTGACTTGTTCAAGGGACAGAAACAAGTCCTGTGTGTCTGAAAATTATTAACACTGAAGAAAGTAGTCACCAGACATTTTTTAAGATGTACACTATGAAAAACTGATGAGCATTGGTCAAGGATGGAGGCAGAGACAACTAGCTGGGGAGTTAATTGAGTAGTCCAGGAAAGAAAGAATGCTGGCATGGACTAGGGTGAAAGAGTACATGAGGGAAAATGGAGTGGTCTGAGGTTTATTTAGGAGAAGGTAGCAACAGAACTTGGTGGACTGGGGGTGAGTGAGAAAAAAGTCAAGATGACCCTTGGGTAATGGGAATCACTGAGAAAAAAGGCTAGAGAAAAGTCAAGAATTTACTTTTGGGTATCAGCATCCACATGAATTAATTCATCTAATAATTTGGCCTCTCAAATACTTGACCTCCTCACTCCAATGGTCATTTTTTCCCACCCTACCTCAGTCTCTCATTTCTATCTTGTTAATAACACTGTCACCTCCAAAATCTGATCTCCCCTCCTACCCTTCCAGTTTAGCTACTTTGACTTCATGGTGCATTAAAATCACTCCCTTATAAATACTCTTACCTCCTTTATCACCTCCTATTGTCCAACTTTCCTGGTTAAAGCCAATTTGCCTGCACTTGGGAGGAAAAACAGAACCATGCTAATGAATTACACTTTAAATTTATGGCCACAGATTTTAAAAGGTATCAAACACTGCCTGGACACTTTGCCTCATTTTTCCACTTTTTAGAACAACTATTTTCATATCTCTAAACTTTTCCACCTTCTCCCCCTCCCTTCCTGTGCTATCCACTTCTGACTCTGCCTCATATTTCATTGAGAAAAACAGAGATCATTAAACAGGAACACTCTCATCTTCTCACCACCACTTCTAACCCAACTGCATTTGTAGCCATTGTCCTTCCTCTAATAGATGAAAGGTTCCTGTTCCTATCAAAAGCCATCTCTCAAAAACAAACAGCAACAACAAAAAAAGCCATCTCTCCAGCTGTACTCTGCATCCCAGCCTCTCTCTTGTCTTTTCTAGGCTTCCCTCCTCCACTTTTTTTTCTTTCCACTTTTTCTCTAAAATCTTGCCTTCCATACTGCAGGCACAGTGATCTTTTTAAGATGTATGAAGTGGTTTTGAAGCTGGGAAGATTGTGCCCCTGGGGCAAATGTTTGGAGACAGTTTGGGTTCTCACCACCGAGTGGGTGCTACTAGCATCTACTGGGTAGAAGTCACCGATGCTGCTAAACATGCTATATAATATACAAGACATTCCCTCATAACAAAGAATTATCTGGCCCAACATATCAGTAGTGGTGAGGTTGAGAAACCCTGCCTTATATTCTTCTGGAGTGGAAAGGGAGTGGAGAATGGAGGCTGCTGAAAGAACCAAACCCAAGCCCCTTTCTGGGGGCCACACCCCCCTTAGTGCCCTAGGAAATTCTCAGGGAGAAAGGCAGCCCTCTGCTTTAAACTTTTCAGTGGCTTCCAACTTTACATATCCTGGTTTTCAAAACTCACTATGCTCTAGCCGCAATATATTCTCTCAATCTCTGAATTGGCCAAACTTGTTCTTATCTCAAGGGCCTTTGCACTAGCTGTTATCCTGTGCTTTGAAAGCTCGTCTGCATGATCTTATGTGGCTTAAATGTCTGCCCCTAAGTCAGCTAACTCACCAGTCGCATATCATTATCATCCTGTTTTGTTTTGTCTGTGGACCCCTTACCATTATTACTTTACTCTAGTGTTAAAGAGTGAATTCCCTGAAAGCAGAGACCTTTTTGTCTTGTTCGCTGCTGTCTACATCACCTTCAAACAGTGCCTGGCTCATTATTGGTGCTCAGTAAATAATAGTGATTAAATAAGTGAATGAATAAATAACACGTTAAGTCTAAGATGCTTCTTATATACCCAAATAAAGAGGTAGAATAGACAAATGGATATACCGCTATGGGGTTGTGGGAAGAGGTCTAGCTTGGAAGTCAAATTTGAAAACTTAAAAACCACAGGTCTAGATATGATCACCTAGGGTGAAAATATAGAAAGAGTCTTTTTAAACCAACATACCATTTATTAATCTGAGCAGCAGAGAGGGGGCTCGGAAAAGTGCCTGCCCTGAGCCCCTTACTGGGGCCCCAATCTCTCTCCTTAGGGAGTCCTCGAAGGAGAGAAAAAGGCCCTCGGAACATGCTTATCCCTGACACCACCCATTCTCCGCCGGTCTCCCCGCACAGGGCCCCCACGCACCTCCGGGGGATCCATCCTGAGGAGCGGCGACCCTCTTGGTGAGCGGCGTGCGCTTGGGCCCACCAGCCTGGGTCTGCAGCCCGTATGAGAACTGCGGCGGGTCGTTCCAGCCGCGCTCCTTGTTGCCTGCGGAGGTGAAGCGAGACTGGGATTTCACCGGAGGGTTATAGTGGGGCTGAGGGAGACAGAAGGTCCGCAGCCCGCGCCTTAGCCGCCCCCAGCCCGGCGCGAGGACCCAGCGCCCCTAGACCCCCAGCAGCGCTCACCCGGCTTCACGTACAGCTCCGCCATCTCCACTTCCGCACGGCCAGCGGGGCAGCGCGTCATTTCCGGGGCGGCCGCTCGGCGAGTGCGTAGAGGCGCGGCTCCGGCCAGGCTAGCCGCTTGGAGACCCTGTTCACAACTGCGGGCGGTCACTTGTGAGGACCCTGCGCCAACTCCCTAAGGGGCTCGAGGACTCCAATTAATGAACCTTCGGGATGCTGGTCACAAGGCACCAAATGGGGCTGTTTTCCAGGAGCTGGCGCTCTAGGAGCTCTCTTTCTCTATGGGTCCGACCTCTCCAATGTCTCCAACTTGCTCTCAGGAGCAAGTTGAAATCACCAGAAGCTCCGGTCCCATATATGCCCTTCTGTGATCTAGCTAGATCGACTCCTAGAGCCTCAACTCTGTTCACTGTCCTGCACAATCACATTCATTTTCTCTGGCCTCGCTACCTAGTACTCAGCTTAGACTTCAGTTTTCAGGAAGTCTTCTGTAATGCCTCAAGCCAGTTTAAATGTCTCACCTAAGCTCCCACAACCCTGACGTTTCTTAGTTCTACTACACCATTATCTTATGTGGGGTTTTTTGTTTGTTTGTTTGTTTTTTGACTCTTGTTCCTCTCCCTGACAGTCTCAGAAAGTGAGACCCTATTTTGTTATATCCCCAGCGCCTAGCTTAGTGCCTGGCACAGAGACCTTAGAAAATATGTTCATTGAATAAATGAAGTATGATTTCCATCACACCCATGCCCTCATATGACTACAGGCAGCCACCAACACCAAGCACAGACACAAAGACACTTACTCTCACACAGGTTGTTGGCCCCCAGCCCTGTCCCAGTTCCAAAATACTCACACCCAGTGAGGTCACTGAGGGATTTTTATTTGCACTGATTTTTGCTATAAAGTGTTGCTGAGGTAGAGCCAACTGTCCAGGGCTGGACAGGGGCAAGGAACATAAGGACCCAAGGAAAGGGGAGCCAGGGTCCTAGGTTGTGGTACAGGGCCTCTCAGTCATCCATACAAACAATAAATTGGGCAATAAATAAAGGATGGCCAAGGATCAGAGGAACAGGCAGAGAAGGCTCCAAGGGGTGAGAGGCTACAGGCTTCAGGTAATGAAGGGGTATAAATAGTTAGGCATGGACCCAAAGCCTCCTTCCCCAGCCCTCCCAGATCAATTTAGGGCATATGGAGCAGAGAAGGTTTCAGCCGGAAGGCATCAAGAAATGAGAAGACACCCCGTTTTCGAGGGGCTGCCCCTGCACCGCCAACCCCTCCTTTGAGCAGAGGGAGGGGCAGGGGACCTCCTGGGGAATCCATGGAGCTGGTCCGCTTGAGCCGCAGACGGGCCCGGGCCTGGGCACCCCAGGCCTTGCCTCGAGCTGCAGAGGCCACGAGACACTTCTGGTACTGAACCTAGGGAGAAGGGGAATGTGAGGATCAAGCTACTTTCTGCCCCTGGAATCCCTGAAAGCTTCTGTAGGACAGAGAACTCGCCAAGGCTTCTGTCTGATATGAAGGTAGTAGTTGGCCACATCTGGAGTCCCTATAGCACTCCCAGGTAGCTCAATAATAAAAACATAAACCAATATTTATCGAGCACTTAAAGACGGCTGGACACTATGCTAAGTGCTTTCTATAACTCAAGTTATTTTTGAGGCATATTATCCCCATTTTGCAAATGAGGAAATTAAGATTCATAGTATATGACTTGCCCAAGGTCACATAGCCAGAAAATGGTAGAATTGGCATTCAAACCTAGTTCTGACTGTGGCCTGTACTCTTAACCGCACCTACCAATATGCTGCCTCTCCTCCATCTCTCACTGCTGTGGACCAAGTCCTAGTAAAGCAGATTCCTTAGTCAAGGGGAGGGTGTATAAACCAACTTCATTCCCAATGCAAGTGTCTCAATCTTCTCTCATTTGAACTACTCAAAGGGGTCCTAACTGGCCTTCCTACCTACTCTCCTGGGTCCTCCAAATCTTTTGCCCATAGTATAGTTTAAGTGGTCCTCCTAATCCACAAACCTGACAGTTCCTAGTGCCTCAGGATAAAATAAACTCATCACCCTGGCCTCTAAGGTCCTCTATGACCTGGTTTCTGCCATTTTCTCTGCATCGTCTCTCACTATATCTGTCCTTGCATGCCAGATACACTAAATTATTTCAGACACTCCAATCCACTAACACCTTTATCACCTTCACAGCTGAGGTTCCCTGTGGCTGGTACACCTGCCCCATTCCCCTTCACTTGGCTAACTTCTTCCTTGGAACCTTTAACTCTTGCTTTTCTATCACCTCTTACAAGTAGCCTTCCTGACCCTCTTCCATCAATCTGTGGCATACAAATTCCTTCTGGTCTGTCGCTCTCCTTCCTAAGTGTTCTGTAAAGGCAAATGCTGTGTCCTCTATACCACTGAATTCCTAGGGTCAAACATGGCACCCGTCCAAGCATGGCTGCATTTTGAAAAATAAATATGGTGCCTGATAGCCTGTAGGCACTCTCATTTGTTGAATGCATGAGTGAACTTGAACTAATAGAGTGTAAGCATCCCACACTCAAATCCCCACAAGTGCCAGGAAATAACCGAAATGAGACAAACAGACAAACATAGACAATGCCCACCTTATAGGGCATAGCTCCTACACAACTCTGGCTGTATGCTGACATTTATATGTGTAAATGCAGTGCCAGAGCTACTAGTATTTTAAGAAAAACAGGAATAGCAATTATTATGTGAAATGTCCTGGCCTTTAAATATTGGTAGTTAATTAAAACTTACTAAAAACAGCATTGAGGGCCAAAATAATGATCCACAGTCGGCCCAGCTTTATGGTCTCTGGAGAAGCTGCCAATCTTGAGCCCCAGTCAACAGTGGAGAGCAGCTGCAGGGCAATCCCACCCACCCATTCCCACCCCGAACTCACCATACAGGCAGCCTGCACAGCTTCGGAGAGTCCACCTGCATGGGGCTGGCACCAGAAGGCTGCGCACTGGAAGCTCTGACGGCCCAGGTCGGCAATGAGGCCAAAGGTATGTGGGTCGCGGCCAACACCAATAAAGGTCACAAGACGCACAGGGCACTGCCACAATGGCTCCTCCTCTGCACTGGCCTCTGCCTGCCCACACCAGGCCTAGTCACTAGAGGGCCAACCACTGGCTGGACCCACTGAACTCTTCCAGCAGCAAGCAATGACCCCTCAGCATCCCTGCTCACCCCTCCACAGCCCCCAACTTCACCCTCTTCTGATACCTGAATGGGATGTGCAGTCATGAGAGAGTCAGACACACTGAGTATGGTGGGAACCCAGGTGTTTCGGTCCCCTCGGGCGGTGAGGGTACCAATGGCCTCGTTCAGTACATCCATGCCTGAGGGAACATGCCCACCATGGTGTCTCCCAATTGTAAAAAAAAGAAAGAGTCTGTAGGGAGTATCTACACCCCTCTCACTGACTTGGGACTCAGAAATGTGAATAGGATAGCTGGAGCTGGGCTTAGAATTCTGAGTTAGGAAGGCTGGTACATCCCAGACCATATAACGCCATGTGAGGATTGAGAAATGACAGGAGACCCTGCCTCACCCACCTTCCCCTTGCCTTATGCAGACAACCCCATTTAGTCCCCTCAGTCCTTACCCATGGCTTTGTTGACTGGCAGGGTCCCCATGTACAGTGCCTCATACTTCTGAGCAGCCTGGCTCACTGCATCCAGTAGCTCCACTGAAATAAACATATACATCAAGTTGGCCTGGGAGAGCTCTCTCAATTACCCCTTTCCCCACCCTTCTGAGTAGGTCAGGACTCAGGCCAGAGCTGGTACTAATAGAATAAAGGCCTACAGATGCTCTTCCAATTCAGGGCTTGGGATCCCTGGGACCACACCCCTCAGAAATTCCCTATCTCTGGAGAAGTACTAAACAACCAGGAACATCCCCCTACACCAAGTTTCACCAAAGCAGCCTAAGGCAGCAATGCAGCACCTCCTTCCCCGTACCTTGCCGTGGCAGGTCTTCAGGGCAGATGGGATCTGGGGAGCAGCAAGGGGCATCACCACTGACCCCTACTCGCTCTGACAAGATCTAAAACACAATGCAGCCAGCATGAGCCACAGGGAGAGGGGGATTAGGATAAAGGGGCCAATACCACCCTTCCCCAACTACCTCGGAAGCTTCAGACCCAGCCCTATACCCACATTCCCTGTCCCACCCATGGCCCTTACCTGGGCACAGAGCCCATGTAGGGCACTGGCAATGGCCTTGGCAGGGACGTCACAGCGAAACACATGGCACTTGAGCATACAGCTGTCTTTTTCACCCGCCACAAAAGCAAAGTCCCTGGCAGGGGCAGAGATGGGGCTGGGATAGAGGCTGGTTAAAGGCAGGGGCCTGTAGTGCCTGCAGAAGGCTATGAAGTCAGGCTAGGGATATGGCACAGATGGAGTAGAGAGGGCAGGGCTGGGACCCAGAGCACCTGGTTGTCACTCACCTGTCACTGTTCCAGAAGCATGTGGGAACACAGAAGAGAATCAGCACAACCTCTCAGGCTGAGCTGTTCCTGCTGAGCTGGACCCACCCTCCCCAACCAGGACTGGACCAGGCAGGGGAGGCAGTGTTGGGTCCACATCAGAGGATCTGTGTCCAGGGGTGCAAGCACTGGGGATCAGCATCAGTGGGGATCATAGCCTGCAGGTGGGGAGGGAGAAGTAGCTCTCGCTTGGGGAAATGTAGACATCCTTACCGGCCCTTGGAGCTCCCCACGCCCCATACACGAATGTGCACCAGAGGCTGGCAGTGGATCAGACTGCGGTCCAGGGGATTCACCAGGCTCATGGCATCCTTCTTCAGGATCATCAGCATGTTCTGACCCTGCCAAGGTCAGAGGCCAGCCTAGAGCTCAGATAAAGGTGGTTGCTATGTGGAACAGGAAATTCAGGGACAACTACCTCTGCTGGGCACTGGGCTGAACCCTTGTGGGTGAGGGGGAAGGCCCAGCCAGCTCACCTCACCCCAGGCACCATCTGGTGGCTGGCTCTGGCTGCAGGTCTGGGCCAGTTGCTGGATGCAGTTATTGACGGCAATACTGCTCTTCCCTGGTGCCAGGTCCTCTTCGGGTACTTCTACCCAGCCCAGAGAGCGGACTGCAAAGCACTGACGGGTTAGAGGAAGGGACAGGAGTAAGTAGTGGTGAAGTAAGTTGTTAGGTGCCACAGGCTCCACACATGTAAACCCTCTGGTACCTCCCCTTCACCCTTGATCACCTCTGCTCAGTCCAATCCCACCCCAGGTCTTTCCCTTGGGACCTCCCAATGCCCTCAGGCCCAAGTCACTACCTTAGCTCCTGGCTCCATGCTCTGGATGTAGGATTCCTCGCCATACCAGGACAGAGAGTTACTGGAACACAGAAGAGCTAGTAAGAGTACATTTCCTACAGTAGGAGCATTGGTAACATCCAGACTACTTAATGAGCACAGGATGTGGAACAAGACTTAGAATGTAACACCATAAATAAAACCAGAGTGGGGTAGAGCCCAGGATCTATTAAGTAAACTTAATATAAAGTGTGACTTAGAATTTGAAGGAAAATTTGGGACACAGGACCCAGACACAGGATGTAGAATAAAAGTCACAAACATGGAACAGGGTCAAATATGTGGACCAGAGCCCCAAACTGGAACAAGAGACTCTAGAACACAGGATAGGAACCCCCACAGGCAAAGTCTAAGATAATGGCCAACTTCTAGAACATGACAGGTCAGGACTGGGAATATGGAAAAGAACACATAGCTAAAGACAAGCTTAGAACAAGGGACAAAACTCAAAATACTGAGAGTCAAGAACATGAGACAGAGCCAAGAACACACAATACAATCTAAAACATGGACAGAGTCTGGAACCTGGGCTGGAAAGCAGACTGTGGCATCCAGCTGCATTTTTTAATGCCATGGAACCCCCAGCCTTTCATTTTGCATGGCCATCCCTCTTACCTCCGGTCTAGTGAGCTCTCCAGGCTGGAGAAGGATCTCCCTTTAGGGGGCCGCAGTCCCCAAATCCCCTCGGACCCCTGTAGAATGGGGGTTAGTCAGTGTAGCAGCAGGCCTAGGTCCACACATGGGCTCAGGACTCCTTTTCATACTTCCACCTACCGTTCCTGGGTCCTCTGAATCTCCTAGTTCCCAGGTTGGGCGCTGCCACTGGGTGCTACCACTGGGTACGTGCCAATAGTAAGTACCTGCAGCATCTCGGATCTTCCTCCAGCCAGGGGGCAGGCCTGGCTCCCCCTCCAGACTCTGGTCCCCCCACAAGTCATCTACATGAACACAGGATTGGAGAGGGGGTGCATATTATCTGTGAGTTGAGAATAACACCCTGTCATAACCCTCCTTCCATCCTAAAGGGGGCAGCTTTTAGGCTGGAAGCCCAATCTCCCCAATCTTGAAGATACCGCATTTAAAGATCAGGGTTCATTTAGACCTGGTCCTCACACCAAGACGTATTCCCCACCCTGTCTTTGAGCCTTGCCGTAGCCTTTTGCACTCTTCGTCCCCCCTCAGCTCCTAGTCCTTTCACCAGACCCCTCTGTGCACACCATCGCAGTTGACCAGAATGATGGCCAGCATGTAATCCTTGCCCAGCATAGCGCCGGCTGCGTCCCCGCCGGGCTCTGCGGGCCAGCACTCTCAGCCCAGCGCGACCTCTGAAGCTGCTGCGCCTACAAGCCCAGCCTCCCTGCGCCGCAAACGGCAGGGCCAGCTGGCGCCGCACAAACACTGGGCGGAACAGGGCCGGTCCTAGAGGCGGGAAGGGGCGGGCTCGAGGGGTGGCGCGTGTAGACTGGCGGCTGGATTCCCGAGTGGGTGCGTGTTTCCGTGCGTGGGTCCGGGGGAGGCGCAAGGATGTCAGCGGACCAGCAGACACCGCCACACAACTACGACTTCCTCAGGCGGAGGAAGAACGTCCGAGCGAGGCGCGCATGAGTGAGATCATCGCGCTCAGGTCGTATGCGCGCGCATACGCATCCTGGTCCTCGATGGGAGGGGTCACGTAGAAGTATCTGCGAACCGAAGACCGCCTGGGTTTGGTCACTAGGAAAGCAGTACCTCACCCTTTCTAAAAATGCCCCGGAAGTGCCTTCGCCCTCAATAAAGATGGCCGTACCACTTGGCATGAGGAAGGTGGGTTTGCGCCTGCGCAACAAGTCCGGCGGGGAAGATGGCGGATGACAAGGTGAGTGAATGTGTGGAGGAGACCGCAGTCGTGGGTGGTCTTCACGCTCCATGATCTTTTTAGTTCTGGGGAGAAGCGGCATTGGAGCGGCTCAGGGGTGTTACCTCTGGAGCTCCTATCGACTGCCTCAACAGTGGGGGGTGGCAAGGGGGGCAGCATTAGGCGAGGCGGGTGGAGCCGCGGATGCCCCAGGTGTCCGTCCTCTCCCGGAACCATCACGAACCCCAGTTACTAGCACACACTCAAACACATTCACCCTGAAACCCTTCTCACTCTGCCCCACCTCCTAGCCCCCGAAATTTCCTTCCCAGAGACGCGGTGTTTTCAATCGCACGGACGCTCACATCACCCTCATTCAAACACTCCCTTGGATAAACTCTGAATTTCATACTTATATGTGGTCAGAATCGCTCAGTTCATTTACTCACTTGCCCACAGTCCTTGTCTCTCGCATCACTCACATTCAGTTTGTGATGGCCTTGGGCGGAAAGGGATAAAGCAAGCACAGGAAGAAATCAAGCTTACCCCCAAATAGTCCAGGGAACTACCTCAGTCCATTAGTCACCATTGGTCTGGAATGTCAGCATCACTCACACATTTACTAAGCCTTTGCCACTCCCTACGTCAGGCACTGGAACACAGCAGCCAAAACATTTTTCAGGGAGTTCATATCGAATCAGTAGTGCTTCCCTGATAGACCTAACTGAAGGTCCCCTAGCTGTCCCTCCTGCCTTCTCTACACACTGCTTGCTATATAAAATTCTTGTAGAGAGTGTTGTAAGTTACTGGTGCAGATCCCATGTCACCGGCTCCCTGGCTCCCATGTGAATTGTGTGCTTTTCAATGCCTTTCTTCCTTTACTTACCACTACCATCTCAGGCAGCTTTTATAGGAAGAGGTTTCTTTGGCTCACCCCAACCTCTCCAATTCCCAGCCTCTTATAGAATTGAGCAAGGGATGGGTGGGTCAAACTGCTGGAACTAGCCTCTCCCTGTTCCTAGGATTCTCTGCCCAAGCTTAAGGACCTGGCATTTCTCAAGAACCAGCTGGAGCACCTGCAGCGGCGTGTAGAAGATGAAGTCAACAGTGGCGTGGGACAGGTAGGAATTGTTACCCTAACCCCGGCCCCCACCTTAGGTTTTATTGCCCAATGAATGTGCTCTTGAGTGTTGAGTGGGTAGTAGAGATTTATTCAGCAAATGGTTATTTAGGGTCTGTTCTCATTCACCTTGAGGAAAGTTTCCTTGACAAAATGGTACTTGAACTGGGATCTTGAGTAGGGGTTAATTAGGCAAAGAGCAGAGGAAAGAACATTATAAGGGAACAGCATATGCAACGCCCTTGCGATGGGAAGTAGCATTATGAACATGACGGGTGAGAGGAGGCTGCACTAGTAGGGGAGCATGCTAAGAAATGAGGGTTGAAAAACAGGCAGGGCTCAGATTCTTCAGGGGCCTCTCTGGCCTTGTGGCAATAGGGTTCTATGATTGGAGCCTTCTCCAACCCCAAGATTCTGAGATTGTGTGATCAGGACTCCTACATTCTTTTTATGGCTTCAGAACCTTGAGAAAAATCTTTGGAAAAAATACCACAGTTGTCTAGAGTGAGGAGGAAGTAGTGGTGGAATGCTCTAATCCCAGCTTGAGTAGCTCCTGGGTAGAGAAGGAAGGACAGCCTGGCTGAGTTTCCTTCTGCGTTTTTCCCTGCAGGATGGCTCGCTGTTGTCCTCTCCATTCCTCAAGGGATTCCTGGCTGGCTATGTGGTGGCCAAACTGAGGGCATCAGCAGTGTTGGGCTTTGCTGTGGGCACCTGCACTGGCATCTACGCAGCTCAGGCATATGCTGTGCCCAACGTGGAGAAGACATTGAGGGACTATTTGCGGTCACTGCGCAAGGGGCCCGACTAGCTCTGAATGCCATGGGGGAGGCAGGATGAGCAGCTGGGGCCTGCAGGTGGAGGTCTTTCAACCATAGACATTCTATCTGGCTTCCCCAGCTATCATCCATTTGCTGTCTCCAGCTTTTCCTGCCACATTCATCCTTGCTTCCTTTCTGCAGAGTGTGGACAGTGGCTTGTCATCCTGCACTCTGGACTCCTTCCCTCCCTAACTCCATGGAATTGGCCCCAAAACTGTGGTTTCAAGGGCCACCGGCCCCTCCTCTTCAAGTGCTAACTATGGAGTTTGCAGCTGACTCTGATCTTCAGTATTCTCTCTGGCAATGTACCACTGCTCCTCCCTCTTGGGAGCCGGCCCCATAACTTGATTTCCCTCAAAGGTGTCACAATCCCTATTGCCCCTTGCTAACTACACAGGCCACCTGGGGTCTGGTGGGCATGAGTGTAGAGGACGGGGGTATACCAGGCCTGGGCCGTCCTAGGCAGGCCCGTTGGACCCTGATGCTACTCCTTTCCACTGCTATGTATGGTGCCCATGCCCCATTGCTGGCGCTGTGCCATGTGGATGGACAAGTGCCCTTCCGCCCCTCCTCAGCCGTGCTGCTGACTGAGCTGACCAAGCTACTGTTGTGCGCCTTCTCCCTCCTGGTGGGCTGGCAAGCATGGCCCCAGGGGGCCCCACCCTGGCGCCAAGCTGCTCCCTTCGCACTGTCAGCCCTGCTCTATGGCGCTAACAACAACCTGGTGATCTATCTTCAGCGTTACATGGACCCCAGCACCTACCAGGTACTGAGCAATCTCAAGATTGGAAGCACGGCACTGTTCTACTGCCTCTGCCTCCGGCACCGCCTCTCTGCACGCCAAGGGTTAGCGCTGCTGCTGCTGATGGCTGCGGGGGCCTGCTATGCAGCAGGTGGCCTTCAAGACCCCCGGAACACCCTTTCTGGGCCCCCTCCAGCTGCTGATGCCAGCCCCATGCCCCTGCATATCACTCCACTGGGACTGCTGCTGCTCATCCTGTACTGCCTCATCTCAGGTTTGTCATCTGTGTACACAGAACTGCTCATGAAGCGACAGCGGCTGCCCCTGGCACTTCAGAACCTCTTCCTCTACACTTTTGGTGTGCTTCTGAACCTAGGTCTGCATGCTGGTGGTGGCCCTGGCCCAGGCCTCCTAGAGGGTTTCTCAGGATGGGCAGCACTTGTAGTCCTGAGCCAGGCGGTAAATGGACTGCTCATGTCAGCTGTCATGAAGCATGGCAGCAGCATCACACGCCTCTTTGTTGTGTCCTGCTCACTGGTGGTCAATGCCGTGCTCTCAGCAGCCCTGCTGCGGCTGCAGCTCACAGGCGCCTTCTTCCTGGCCACACTGCTCATTGGCCTGGCCGTGCGCCTATACTATGGCAGCCGCTAGCCCCTGACCCTGTGGCTTGGGTGTCACCATCAGAACCCCCCTCCCAGGCCTCCCTTCCCCCCTACTCAGCAGCCCTGTAACAAGTGCCTTGTGAGGAAAGCTGGGGAAGTGGGAGCAGCCAGGTTAGTCTCTGGAGGTGGGTGGCTGGGTACCCCTAGCAGATGCAAAGACTGGGTTTGGTTATGGAAACTCTTAACCACCCCACCCCACCAGGTTCTCTCAGGCTAAGGAATTAGGGTAGCGTCAATACCTAGGCCAATAAATGACCCCATCCCTGATGGGGCTGGGCTCCCTGCCTCATCCTGCATGAACACAGTTGCTCAAAGTGGGTGTGGGCAACAGGTGGCTTTCCTTACCTAGTCACCCCATCAGACCCACTGCCCCCATGCCTGGTGCTGCGTGCTTCAGCCCAGCTGTGGTGCATGATTCCCTCATAAGGAATGCTCAACCCCTCCACTGTCATGCAGGAAAGCCTGATAAATTGCCATAGATTATACAACCATCACCCAGACCATTCTGCCAGTCTCCCCAGTTCCAGCAATGCCTGGAGACATATTCCTCCCAGCCACAGTGCTGCTTCCCATACCCAGCCTTTGTTCTGGAAACCCCAGAGATAGCTGGGGTTTGACTCATCTCAGGGAATGTTGCCCCTGGGCCCTGGCTTAAGCCTACACTCCTGACCTTTCTGCTCATCCCAAAGGCCCTTTTGAAGCTCGCTGCCCTCTCTAAGGCTCCTAGAAGGCGCCATCCTTCCCACTCTGGGTCCTCCCTCTGCCTAGCAGTCTCCCAGCTCCCAGTAGCCTGAGGAAGCTCTACACAGAGTGACTTGGGACCAGGTACAGGAAACTTCCGTAGCTCAATCAGTGTCTCTAACTGCATAAGCAATAAGGTCTTAATAAAGTGTTCTAGAGTGTAGGGGTGGTTCCTACAACCACAGCCATGATTGTCCTGTGTCTTCTATTTGTACAGCCCCCTTCAAACATAGTCTTGTTCCCCTGGAGTTTTGAGTATTTTAATTCTGGGGTAACTTCTAGACTAAGAGAAAAAGTTGTGTTCTCCAAGCTGCTGTCAGAGGCATTATTTTCTTTGGGAGCTCCATGGATCTGAGACTATTCCCTTACACAGAGCTTTTCAAATTTCCCTGATACTGAGCCCAGCAAGTCAAACTGTAGACTCTAGGCTAGAAAATTCTTAAGAACCAGTGTGGGTTTAATTCTCATTTCCTCTGGTTCCCTCACTGATGATTCCTCTCTGTCATCTGTCTTAAAATCATGGCCAGAGGAATGTCAGGTCCTGTTTCCGTGGTAGAATCCCTGGTCAGCTTGTAAAAATAGAATCCCAGGCCCATCTGAGCCCTATCAAGGCAGAATCTTTGGAAGTAGGGTTTGGGACTTTTTTTTTCTTAAGCTCCCTAAGTGATTCTGATACTTGTTGAAGCTTGTGAACAACTACTGTCTCTGATGTAGAACTATGGCCAGACTTGAATTTGAATTCTGCCTCTGCCACTTAGCTGACTGTTCTTGTGCAGTTACTTAACCTCTCCTAGCTTCAGTTGCCTATCTCTGAAATGAGGATCAAATGGTACCTCCCATATGGGTAGCGGAAAAGGGTAAGTGAAATGGTAAGCAGTAGAGACTGACTGGCACAGTGAGACATGGTTAATGTTGTTAATTGTCCGTATGAGGATCAGCTTGGTTGTTGTGTGCCTCCCTCTCCTTTCTAGGACCCTCAAGAATGAGGAGAGAGGAAACTTCCCCTGAAGGCTTCCTGATCACCAGATTTCTCCCTAGGGCAGGGGTCCAGCAAGACTGCCCTGGCCTAATCTGCACCCTGCCGAAGCTGCTGGTTCTGGGCTTGGAGCTCCTGATTCTGTGTGGCCAGGTTGATGGTGTCTTGCAGGATGCCAGCCAGCAGGCTACGGTGCTGATGCTCTGTGGTCATGGCCTGCTCCTTCCACAGCCTCTGCCAGGCTCGGAATACCTGTGCCAAAATTCAGAGATGCCTGTCAGCCAACCTTGGAACCAGCTTGAGGCCTGCCCTCCATCCCCACTGACCTGCAGCATGTGGCATGTCCGAGCTCGGGTGGCCTGCACATGCAGGTCATAGAGGACAGCCAGGTCCTGCTCTGCAGCGTCCCGCTGTGCCTCAAGGGCCTCCAGCTGGAGTCTCAGCACTGTCTGCTCCTGGTGCCATCTCTGCCTTTCCTCACAGGCCTTCAGTGATAATACATACCCTTTGTTGAGTGCCACCGGTGTGCCAGGCTCAGTGCTAAATACTTCATGTGTTAGTTCATTTTACCAGATAACCATATGGGGCGTTGCCATTTTACAGATTTGGCAACAGTAGATCAGAGAATTGACCTAACTTGCCCAGATTCTCATGGCTAGTGAAGGACAGAGCTGAAATGACTAACTCATGCCTTCCAACAGTTCACCATCCTAGGGGTAGAATCCAAACCCAGAAGGGTGGCAACTTGTCTGTTTAGCCTTGCCTCTGACCATGCAGCTCCAGCCAGACTGGATAATTTGCAGTGCCCAGAACCCATTTTGCCATTGCATCCTTCTGAACCTTTGCTCGATACTGTTTTGTCCTCTCTGAGAACATATCTCTACCCCAGCCACCCACCACTACGTACACAAGTTCTGTTGCTTAATTTGTTTAAACAAGTTATGTTTATTGAGTGCCTATGTGGTAAGCATTAACTGCACTTATGAAGCTCAGAGTCTAGTGAACTCCCCTGGCTGATACCTGTTTGTCCTTTATTCCTCAGCTTAGATACTATCTCCACCCCTTCCTTCCCACAAGCCCCACTTTCGCCCATCAGAGCACTTAGCACTGAGAATTGCCTCCTCCATTCCCCGCTGGGCTGTGTGGGTTCAGATCAGTCTGCTGTGATTGAGGCTGGGTCCCAGCCCCCAGCATGGTGCCTGGACCAATTAGTGCCTCAGGTGGCTGACTTGACCCTCCTCACCTCCTCCAAGCCTTTGACCTGGTCACCTGCCACCTCCTCCTCCTGTTCCAAATGCTTGAGCTTCTCTCCGATCCAAATTTTGTGCTGCTCTCGAAGTCTCTGCCTCCGGGCTTGGGCCAGGAAGAACTGCAGGGCCATATCTGGGACCTGCTGAGCCTAGGTGGCATTAGTCTAGGCTTAGCCATAAATAAGCCCATGAGTGCAGAGGCTGCTCCCAGAACTACATCCAGGATTTAAGTGGCCTATAGCTTGGGCAGAGACTCAGAAGGCCGTGGAGGATGGGGGAAGGTATTGGCTTCCATACCCCTAATCCAACCCAGTAAGAAAACAGTCCCTCCTCACGCTCCTCCTTAGGGATCCAGTAGCCCTTTAGGTCCTTTATTTGCCAGAAGCTTACTACTTTTCCCTGATGTCCGGGCAAGGTAAGCAGGAGGCAGATTGGCTGGCCACTGCCACTCTTCACTCCCTCAACAGCTTCCAGCTATTCCCAGGGTACATGAGGTATTACCTGTTCCTCAGAATCCCTGTGAGTATTCTTTTGGTGGAGCCCAGGTCTTAGTGATGCTGTTCTTCCTGCCACTAGAGGAAAATGTACTTAATCACATCAAAGGTGGAGAAGACTCCCCACCCCAAGCCCCTTAAGTCCCAGGCCCACCTTGGAGCTCCCCCTGGAGGCCTGAGCTATGGCTTGCTGCTGAATCTGTCACCTGCTGAGAAGATAATAGGAGTGAAAATTCCACACCCTTCCTCCCAGGACAGCGTAGATTAAGCTCAGGGCTTTGAAATCAGATCAGGGTCTCAGCCCCTCCTTTTCTTAGCTGTAGTACTGCAAGCAAGTGACTAGCCTTTTGAGTTTCCATGTCCTTCTGCATAAAATAGAGCTGATAAAAGCCGTAGAGAACAAGAAATGAGGTAATTAATACATCTAAAACACTGAGCAGCGAGGCTAAGGAGCCTACTTCCCAAGGCGCAAGGCTGGGCAGGGGCAGCATTTTAACCTCTCTGTGGCAAATCATGGAAGACAGCGCCTCCTTCCACATAAGAAAGGCCATGCAGCCAGAGTAGGAGCCTAAGGACCTTGATTGCACCTCACCTGCCTCTGATTATGCCTGTGACTCTGGGCTCACATCTTTTCTCTGAGCCTCAGTGTGCTCACCTAAAAAATGGGAGCAATGTTTTCTTTCCTGCTTAAAATACATCTGTGGCTCACCTTTGACCTTCAAGACAAAGTCCAAGCATCTCAATAGATTTACAAAGTCCATGTGACCTGGTCCCTGCTGCCCTCTCCAGTCCTTCTCTCCTGACTCTCTTCCTCCGTTTCTGTTCTCCAGCAAATTGAGCTGCTTGTAGTCCCCCAAAGAGATCAAGCACTTGCTTACCTCTGAGTCTGTGCCTGTCATTCTCTCTGCCTCGAAAGTTCTTCACTCATCTTTGCTGACCTCCTTCAGAGATCTCTTCCTCCACGAAGTCTTCCTTCTCTTGCCAAAGCTAACTTAGATGCCCCATAGACCCCTGTGTTTATACGCCTTTCAGAGCACTGATTGTGGTGTTGTGATTGTTTCTTCCCAGGAGGTATACACTCCATGAGGACGGAATGCCCAAGGTAGTGGGTGGCCACGTAGTGGGTGGTCAATAAATGTTTGGGAACAATCAATGAATGAATGAATGGAGGGAAGGCCTCTTCATAGTGTTTGTTAACAGAAGACAAGAAGGCAGATATAAATGGAGCTCCCAAAAGGCTGCATGAAAAGACATACCTGTGGTTCTGGCAGCCCCTCATCTCTGGCCCCTTTTAGCACCTGGCTTCTTGGGCACTGGCTCCATGCTTTTACCACCTATGGAGAGAAGGTTCAAGCTGGGCACTGGCCCTGGCAGGCCCAGGTGCCCCCAGGTCTCACCTTGCTCACCTGTAGCTCCCTCAGTGCCCTGCCCAGCCTGCTTAAACCATTGTCCGTCAGGTTGTCCCCAAGGAGGCTTAAACGTAGGGTCCTCAGGCCAGCCCGGCAGGCCCGAGCCTCTTCTACTGCATCCCACAGGGTGGGCCTCACCTGTTTAACCTCCATCCTCCTTCCTGAGGCCCCCAACAGAGCAGCCTGGAGCAAACTCAAGGAGATACCTAGTAAAAGGACACTCAGAGTGAATTACTCCTTCCTATGGACTCCAAAGCACACTACCTATAATAATTTTACTTTTGATTAGCAGTACTAGTCATAAAAACATCTAACCCTATTAGGCTTTTATATATACTTGATGGCCATTCGCTAAGGCTTTTTTCATGGATCACCCCTTTTTATCCACACAACACTCCAATGAGGCAAAACTCTAATCTAGCCTGGCCCCCACCTCCATTTCCCAGATTAGGCAAGTGCAGTTTAGGGAGGTCAAGTGTCTTCTTGGTGAGTGGCAGAACTGAAATTCAAGCCCAGTTCTGTCTGACACTAAAGCCTGTGCCCTTAATCATGATACCAAACTGGCCTAGAGATAAACATGTCTGCCCTGCGCTGCTTTATCCTGGAGGGTATGAACTGCCCCAACTTATCGTCCTCATTCCATAGGGCCTGGCACGGGGGTGTCTGGGAGCTTGTTGGCCAAATGAATGTGTGTTCTTTGATTTTGGAGACAGAGAGCCAGACTCTTTTTTCACTCTTTTATTATGGAAAATTTCAAAAATATATGAAGTGTAGAAAATCTAACTACCTATCACCCAGCTTTGATAATTATCAACTCATGGCCATTCTTGTTTGATCTATACCCTCCACCTTGCCTTTCCCCAAATCCCTGACATCATATCCTTTCAGAGGCCTGATTTTTAATGGGTGTGTGTAAATAGGCAAGTCACTTCCCCTCTCTGATCCTCCCTTTCCTCATTTGTAAATTTATCTGTTTCATGGGGTTGTAGTAAGAATTGAAAGTATTAGTGCAAAAATACTTGGTAAACTGTTGAAGGCCTCTGAAAGGTGAGGGGTTGCTTTTACTTTTGACCTTGCCTTTGCCTCCCCAGACTTCAGCAGCCTAGGTACTCTGGGACCTTCCTGAATGCTGGCACTCCCAGAAGGTCAGGCTCCCTCTCTGGGCTGGGGTTGGGGCTGGGGCTAGTTGGATGACAGTAAGGCAGGCCTAAGGCCACATCCCAGAGCTTCCCAAAGAACCCCACACCCTCTCCCTGACCACCTTGGGGGTCCAGGTGAAGAAGCAAGCCACTGTAGTTGTTTCCTTCCAGGAGCCATGAGATAATCCAGGGCAGAGAGCCCTCTACCTCCTTGCCAGCAGCCTCACCAGCCAGCACCCGCAGCAGGGGGCAGTCTCTGCCAGAGGGAGAGAGGAAGAAAGATGTCTATTGGTGGATGGGGAAAGAAACTGGACAGAATCACTTTCTGATGGAAAAGTTGACTATTTCCAACAATTTTTGTGCACCACCAGGCAGATTTGAATCTTACATATTTATTTTATTATATAGAGAAAATCCTAAACAGTCCACATACAAAAATAACTATTAGACCTAATAAATTCAGTAAAGTTTCAGTATACAAAGTCAACACACACAAATCACTTCTGTTTTTATACACTAGCAATAAACAGTCCCAAAAGGAAATGGAAAAAAAAATTTGTTTATAACAACATCAAAAAGAATAAAATGCTCAGAAATAAATTTAACTGAGGAATGCAAAATGTATACACTGAGAACTACAAAACACTGCTGAAAGAAATTGAAAAGACATAAATATATGGAAAAACACCCTATTCTCATTGTTCATGAATTGGAAGGCTTAATATCATAAAGATGACAATACCTCCTAAAGAGATCTGGAGACTCAATGCAATCCCTATCAAAATCCCAATGGCGGCCGGGCGCCGTGGCTCACGCCTGTAATCCTAGCACTCTGGGAGGCCAAGGAGGGCGGATTGCTCGAGGTCAGGAGTTCAAAACCAACCTGAGCAAGAGTGAGACCCCGTCTCTACTATAAATAGAAAGAAATTAATTGGCCAACTAATATATATAGAAAAAATTAGCCGGGCATGGTGGCGCATGCTTGTAGTCCCAGCTACTCGGGAGGCTGAGGCAGGAGGATTGCCTGAGCCCAGGAGTTTGAGGTTGCTGTGAGCTAGGCTGACGCCACTCACTCACTCTAGCCTAGGTAACAAAGCGAGAATCTGTCTCAAAAAAAAAAAAAAATCCCAATGGCTTTTTTTCCCTCAGAAATTGAAAAGCCAATCTTAAAATTCATATGGAATTGCAAGAGACTCCGAATAGTCAAAACAATATTGAAAAGAATAACAAAATTGGGCCCGGCAGGGTGGCTCATGCCTGTAATCCTAGCACTCTGGGAGGCTGAAGCAGGAGGATTGCTTGAGCTCAGGAGTTGAGAGACCCAACCTGAGGAAGAGCAAGACCCCATGTCTACTATAAATAGAAATTGGCCAAACAACTAAAAATAGAAAAAAAAAATAAGCTGGGGATGGTGGCGCATGCCCATAGTCCCAGCTACTCCAGAGGTTGAGGCAGGAGGATTGCTTGAGCTCAGAGGTTGAGAGAAGTTTGAGGTTGCTGTGAGCTAGGCTGACACCACGGCACTCTAGCCCAGGCAAGAGAATGAGACTCTGTCTCAAAAAAAAAAAAAAAAAACCTCACTGAATTGTACATTTTAAAAAACTGAACTTTAGGGTGTGTAAATTATATTTCAATAGAGCTATTATTTTTTTAAAGAGAATCTTACATAACAAAATAAAGACTTTAGAATAGTCTAGAACTTAGGGTACCTTTTCCCCTTCTTTTTTGTTTTTCTCTAATTTGTTTTTAGGCGCTTCTGAATTTGGCAATGTTTCCATGATGTTACAAACTATACAAGTTGGTTTGAAATGATGATTTTCTATCATCACATCATATTTTCATAACTTTTGGGCACTGAGTAAAGAGTGTAAAGTGGAATGTGAAGATATGGTTACTTGGGAATTTCCCAATCTTGGTTTTGAACACTTAGGTTCTTTCCAAGTTTTCTTTTTTTTTTTTTTTCTAGTGATGTTCAAACTATCCAAGTTTTCAGCCTGATAGATCAGAAGAAATAATCAGTGGTTGAAAATGAATTGGGAATAAAAAAATAAAAAAGGAATAGAAAAACAAAAAATCTGAAAAATCAGACAAAAATGCTTGAAGACTATTGCAAAACTGCCTGTGGTGCACTTACCAATGTTTGAAAAAATTTTGTTTATGGTAGCTGAAAATATGTATTTTCATTTAATGGTTTTACTAATTCTCTACCCAGTTGCTTTTTTTTTTTTTTTTGAGACAGAGTCTCGCTTTCTTGCCTAGGCTAGAGTGAGTGAGTGGCGTCAGCCTAGCTCACAGCAACCTCAAACTCCTGGGCTCAAGCGATCCTCCTGCCTCAGCCTCCCGAGTAGCTGGGACTACAGGCACGAGCCACCATGCCCGGCTGATTTATATATATATATTAGTTGGCCAATTAATTTCTTTCTATTTTTATGGTAGAGACGGGGTCTCGCTCAGGCTGGTTTTGAACTCCTGACCTTGAGCAATCCACCCGCCTCGGCCTCCCAGAGTGCTAGGATTACAGGCATGAGCCACCGCGCCTGGCCTACCCAGTTGCTTTTGACCACATCATCTGCCAACAAAGAGTCTTATCCTGGGCTCTGGGATGCCTTTATTGATGGAGTTAGGAAAGGAGACACTCTGATGCTGTCCTAGGCCTTTACATCCAGAGTTCAACCCCGAACCTCAGCCGCCAGTGCAGTCAGAAGGCCCCTCAGACTCACGGGGCTCCTGGGAGCTGCAGGATCCGCAAGGCCCCTCGCCAGACGCCCCGGACCTCAGGCCCCTGAGGAGGGTCGGGCCTTGGGCAGGTCATGGTGAGAGTGAGCAGACAGCAGGCCCTGTGAAGGAGAGGGTGGGCTAAGGCTGAATGTCTAAAGGGTAAAAAGAGGAACAGGTACCCTCCTGACCTCACCTGCCATCACCCCTGGTGGCCTGCAAGTACAGCTCTGAGGCAGCTCTTGAGTCAGACACCTCCACTTCACTGGCATCTTCCACCACCCTGTAAGAAGGAGAGGTTGGGCTTGGCTCCTAAGCACCAGAGTTCTGACCAGCCCTCTAGAACGTCTGCACAGGGGGCCCAGGGAGGTCCCCACAGGCTGTAAGAGTCATCCCAAAGGCTCCAGGCTCAGTGTATCTGCCTGAAATCCTCTTATTTTCATAACCTTATTTTCCCTCCTGTGATCCACCCAGTGAAGGAAACAGGGTGGCTGGGACTGCCCCCACTTTCCAGATGGAGAAACTAAAGTCCTACTCAGTGTGATGCTCAAAATAACCCATTGTGATAACGACTGAGTCAGGACAGGGAGGTCGGGGTCAAGTTGAAGAAGTGTGAGTGGGCGAGAGGGATGGGCATGTAGATAAAGGAAGGAGGTGTCAGGGGGTCCTCAGAGCAGACCCTGGCCCCGTAAGCATGACCCCAAGCCCAGAGCTCCTTCCCCTGGAGTGGCAGTGGGTAGAAACCACCAAGGGTTTGGCATGGGGGAGTTGGCCCTGCCTACGACAAGCACCCTCCAACCCCAGTGGACCTCAAACACTCACAAACCCAGAGGGGGCACATCCAGCACCGACAGGTTCTCCACCCCTGGAGAGAGCAGGTCCTGGGTCCGTCCACTGCGGCCGAGCTGAAAGCACACAAGCACACCTGTTACTAACAGCCTGTCCCCTACCTTTGGCTCACGCGATCCTCCTGTGGGCCAAACACAGCACCAAGAATCCAGCCATTTCGCCGCAGAGAGGCGAGCCCACGCTGGGGAGTGAAGCTAGACCCAAGCTCTTCTCAGCCTCAGGCTCTTTCTCAGCATCACCATGGCCCTGGCCCCCCCAGGTCCCACTCTCTCCCCTCCCGCAAAGGTCTCACCTGCACCAGGCTAAGAGTACTAAGCACGTGATCAGAGCGGCCGAGGGGCAGCGCTTCCTCAAACAGCGCCTGCAGCAGCTAAAGTGGAGAAGTGTTCAGTGGGGGTTGATGAGAAAGCTTTCCTCTACCCTTCAGCATTTCCTGAGGGTGAAGTCTGTGTCAGGCACAGTGCTGGGTGCTGGGGACATGGTGTCCGGGACAGAAATAGCACCAGCCCTCGTGTTCACGGTGAGCCAGAAAGTGAGTGGACATTTTCAGTGGGACCTGCTGTTTGCTGGCCAGGGGCCCAGGACAAGATCTGAGGCAGCTAGTTTGATTTGGAGGCACTTTATGAAGCCTCAAAAACAAAATGTTCAAGTTTATTATCATTCTTAGTATTACCCATAACGGTGAGGATTAGACCTCCCTGGAAATCTGATCTTTGCTCGCCAACCCCCCCCCACTCTCTCCCTTCCTGACCTCCCTGGCGAGACATCCTGCCTGGACCACAGGGTGCTGTAGGAGCCCCGAGGAGGGACACCTGGCCCAGCTGAGGTCGGGAGGAGGAGATTCTCAAGAGTATCCCGGAGGAGGCAACACCTGAGCCTCACGAGGCCTGTGCCCTGCTGGCTCCTCAGGGACTCACCTGAGGTACCCGTCGGGGCGTCTCCGTTTCCCTTCCTCGGAGCAACAGGGCCACACTGTACCCTCGGCCCACAGAGCCCAGTGCAGACTGGACACGTGCCAGCAGCTCCTGCTCTGCCTCCTGCGGGGGACACAGGTGCATTCCTCTGTCTCGGGTGCTCTGTCTCAGCCTACCCTGAAGAAAGGGGCTCGGGAGGTCATCAGTACCCCAGGACCCGGGGCCTCGGGACTCCCATCCTCCTCCATCACCCTCGCAGCCCCTTACCTGAGCAGCGTCAGGGCCCAGGACTCTGTCAAAGGTGAAGCTCTGTTTCTGTGGGCAAGGCTGGTGTCAACGGTGTCCTTCCCATCCTCTCCTGTCCCTACCCGCACCCCACACCTCTACCTGAGTCTCCCGAGTCCCTGGCTGGAGCAGGCAGACATTTGTGGGCCCCTCCAAAAGGAGTGTGGGGTGACCAGTCTCCTCAGGGCCTGAGAAAGGTAGACTTCATATCAGCTCTCACGAGGGAAACTGAGCTCTAGGATCCCTGAGTCCTGCCCTCCACCTTTGCCTCAGTTTCCTAACCTGACCTGGCCCAGCCCTTTTCCTCTCCCAAGAGGCTGCCTTAGCATGAATATGGGGGCTTCTTACCTGACCCCTTCCCCGGCTCCACTTCTACCACCACAGCCAGCATGGCGTGTGGATCGGGAGAGGCAATGAGGGCCCCTTGAGGGGGCTGTGCTGCCTGGGACAAACCAGCCCCTGCGCTCGCCGCCTCTCCGCTCTCCATGGCTGCCACGCTGCTCGGATTCCCCTCAATAATTCATGTCCCTCATCCGAGGGCTCCGGCGGGGGGTGGGGAGGCTCTGGACAGCAACTTATCAAGGGAAGTGACACTCCCCTCTCTTCTCAGACAATATTGCATGGGGCTCTTTTTGTCTTTTTTTTTTTTTTTTTTTTTTTGAGACAGAGTCTCACTTTGTTGCCCAGGCTAGAGTGAGTGCCATGGCGTCAGCCTGGCTCACAGCAACCTCAATCTCCGGGGCTCAGCGATCCTACTGCCTCAGCCTCCCGAGTAGCTGGGACTACAGGCATGCGCCACCATGCCCGGCTAATTTTTTGTATATATTTTTAGTTGGTCAATTAATTTATTTCTATTTTTTGGTAGAGACGGGGTCTCGCTCAGGCTGGTTTCGAACTCCTGACCTTGAACAATCCGCCCGCCTCGGCCTCCCAAAGTGCTAGGATTACAGGCGTGAGCCACCACGCCCGGCCTCTTTTTGTCTTTTATAAAAAAATTTCACACATGTGTAGCAGTGGGGAGAGCGGTACCCAGCGTCAGCAATCACCACCTGCTGGCCACTCTTGTTTCTCCTGTTCCCTGAGCTTCCCCTGTGGATTATTCTGAAACAAATCCCAGACGTCCTGTTATTTCATCCATAACTATTTCAGTATGTATCTGTAAAAGATAAAAACTCTTTTTAATAATAGCTTCATTGAGATATAGGCTGGGAGCGGTGGCTCACACCTGTAATCCTAGCACTCTGGGAGGCCGAGGCGGGAGGATCGCTCAAGGTCAGGAGTTCAAAACCAGCAAAAGCAAGACCCCGTCTCTACTAAAAATAGAAAGCAATTAATTGGCAAACTAAAATTGTATATAAAAAAACTTAGCCGGGCATGGTGGCGCATGCCTGTAGTCCCAGCTACTTGGGAGGCTGAGGCAGGAGCAGCCTCAAAAAAATAAAATAGTATCATTGAGATATAACTAATATACTATACAATTCACCCATTTAAAGCATATAATTCTTCTTCTTTTTTTTTTTTTTTTTTTTTTTTGAGACAGAGTCTCGCTTTGTTGCCCAGGCTAGAGTGAGTGCCGTGGCGTCAGCCACAGCTACACCAACCTAAACTCCCTGGGCTCAAGTTTGTGTCCGAGTACTGGGAACTACAGACATGCCCACCTGGGGCTAATTTTTTCTATATACATTAGTTGGCCAATTAATTTCATTCTATTTATAGTAGAGACGGGGTTTTGCTCTTGCTCAGGCTGGTTTTGAACTCCTGACCTTGAGCAATCTGCGTGTCTCGGCCTCCCAGAGTGCTAGGATTACTGGCATGAGCCACCGCGCCCGGCCTAAAGCATATAATTCAAGCCTGGCGAGTGGCACACGCCCACAGTCCCAGCTACTCTGGAGGCTGAGGCAGGAGCATCCTTGAGCCCACGAGGCTGCACTAAACTATGATCGTGCCACTGCACTTCAGCCTGGGTGACAGAGGGAGACCCCATCTCTAAAAAAATTAAAAAAATAAAAATATCAGAAACCAAAACAATAACCAAGGGGTTGTATATTTAGCTTCTTTTCCTTGTCAGTTACATTTCCTTAGAGTTGAATCAATCATTTCTAAATTCCTGTGGTTAACTTTTACCTCCAGTAACTAATCCCAGTGCAGCTGCTGTTCCATACCATGGGTGACTCTGTGGCCACCCGCTCAGGAATCGCAGGTTCCTCATTCTCCGCCTTTTCAGTCTTTCTCCTCACACACCACGCACATGCGAGTCAGGGTTGTTCTAGGAAATTCTACTTCTCCTAATATCAACTGCAAGGACTTCCGATACCAACCACCTAGAGTTGGACCAGACTTCACAGGAAAAGGGCCCAGCTCTCCACAAGACTGTCTTCACCTCAGACACCAGCCACAAGCATGCGATTCCCAGGCCACCCTCACTTTTGGTTTTGTTGATTCTGTACTTTTTTTCCATTCCTTATTTTGTGTATCGCTGCTCTAATTTTTATTATTTTCTAGCTTCTCCTGGTTTTTGGTTTAGTTTGCCCTTTTCCTAGTTCTTTAAGGTGTAAAATTAGGATATTAATTTGAAATCTTTTGTCTTCCTTTTTATTCTGATAAAATGTACACAATCATGCACTGCATAACGATGTTTCAGCCAAAGAGGAACTGAATTTGCAATGGTGGTTCCATAAAATTATAATGGAGCAGAAAACTTCCTGTTGCCCAATGACATCCTAGCAGTTGTAACGTTGTGATGCAATGCATTACTCACATGCTTGTGTTGATGCTAGTGTAAACAAACCTACTGCACTGCCAGTTGTATATGAGCATAGTACATACAATTATGTACAGTACGTAACATTTGATAATGATAATAAATGATGATGTTACTGCTTTATGTATTTATTATACTATACTTTTTTTTTTTGAGACAGTCTCACTCTTCTTTTTGAGACAGAGTCTCACTTTTGTTGCCCTGGCTAGAGTGAGTGCCGTGGCGTCAGCCTAGCTCACAGCAACCTCAAACTCCTGGGCTCAAGCGATCCTCCTGCCTCAGCCTCCCAAGTAGCTGGGACTACAGGCATGCACCACCATGCCCGGCTAATTTTTTGTATATATATTTTTAGTTGATCAATTAATTTCTTTCTATTTTTAGTAGAGACGGGGTCTCCCTCAAGATGGTTTCGAACTCCCAACCTCGAGCAATCCGCCCGCCTCGGCCTCCCAGAGTGCTAGGATTACAGGTGTGAGCCACCGCACCGGGCCAGAGTCTCACTCTTGTTACCCTGGCTAGAGTGCCGTGATATCAGCCTAGCTCACAGCAACCTCAAGCTCCTGGGCTCAAGTGATCCTCCTGCCTCAGCCTCCTGAGTAGCTGGGACTACAGGCATGTGCCACCATGCCCAGCTAATTTTTTCTATATATTTTTAGTTAGTCAATTAATTTCTTTCTATTTTTAGTAGAGATGGGGTCTCACTCTTGCTCACGCTGGTCTCGAACTCCTGACCTTGAGCCATCTACCCACCTTGGCCTCCCAGAGTGCTAGGATTGCAGGCGTGAGCTACTGATCAATGATTTTTAAGTGTCTTTCACATGCTTTTTAACCATATAGCTTCTTTGTAGCAATGCCTATTCAAGTTCTTTGCCCAGTATCTAATTTGGTTATTTCTTTTTTGGCATTTTACTAATGAATAATAATGTTTAGCATCTTTTCATGTACTTGGTAGGCATTTGTATATCTTCTTTGGAGAAATGGCTATTCAATCCTTTCCACATTTTTTATTTGGGTTGTTTGTCTTTTTGTCGGTGAGTTGTAAAAACTCTCTATATATTCTGGATACTAAACCATAACCAGGTATATAATTTGTGAATATTTTCTCCCATTTTGTAGGTTGCATTTTTACTTTGATAATGTCTTTTTTTTGAGACAGAATCTCGATTTTTTGCCCAGGCTAGAGTGAGTGCCATTGCGTCAGCCTAGCTCACAGCAACTTCAAACTCCTGGGCTCAAGCAATTCTGCTGCCTCAGCCTCCCTAGTAGCTGGGACTACAGGCATGTACCACCATGCTCGGCTAATTTTTTCTCTATATATTAGTTGGCCAATTAATTTCTTTGTATTTATAGTAGAGACTGGGTCTCGATCTTGCTCAGGCTGGTTTCGAACTCCTGACCTCGAGAAATCTGCCCGCCTCGGCCTCCCAGAGTGCTAGGATTACAGGCGTGAGCCACCGCACCCAGCCCTGACAATGTCTTTTGATGCACAAAAAGTTTTTAATTTTGATGAAGTCTAGTTTATTACTTTTTCTTCTATTGCTTAGGCTTTTGGTGTCACATCTAATAATCCATTGCTAAATGAGAGGTCATGAAGATTAGTCCCTATGTTTTCTTCTAAGAGCTTTATAGTATTGGCTCTTACATTTAGGCCATTATTCCATTTCGAGTTAATTTTTGTGTGTAATCTGAAGTAAGGGTCCAACTTCATGCATCTGCATGTGGATATCCAGGTGTCCCCTGCCATTAGTTGAAAAGACTAGCTGGGCATGGTGGCTCATGCCTGTAGTCCCAGCTACTCAGACAACTAAGTTGGGAAGATCACTTGAGCCCAGAAATTTGAGGCTGCAGTGAGCTATGATCTTGGACAACTCCATCTCTTAAAAAAAAAAAAAAAAAAAAAGACCAGCGTTTCCTCATTGATCACTCTTGACACCCTTGTCAATATCAGTTGTCCATGGACACATGGGTTTATATCTAAACTTTCGTTTCTATTCCATTGATCTCTAAGTTTATCCTTATGCTAGTGTCACCCTGTCTTAATTACTGTTGCTTCACAATATGTTTTGAAATCAGGAAATTTGAGTCCTCCAACATTGTTCTTCTTTCACAAGATTATTTTGTCTATTGTGTATCCATTGAAATTTCCCATAAACTTTTGAATAAGCTTGTCAATTTATACAAAGAAAGCAGCTTAGATTTTTATAAGAATTTCATTGAGATCGAAGAGTAGCAGCCATGGCTGTGCGCTACCCCATTGCCCTGGGCCGTGGGCCCTCGACAAGGGCCACAGGTGATCCAGCACAGGAGCAAGCTGAGGCTCAGCTGCCATGCGGGCACCTCAACAAGAATACCAGGTTCATGGGGGGGGGGCGTGATCTGAGATGTGTGTGGCTTTGCCCCATACGAGCGGCATGCCATGGAGTTGCTCAAGGTCTCCAAGGACAAACGGGCCCTCAAGTTTATCAAGAAAAGGGTGGGGGGGGGACACATATCCTCACCAACAGGAAGTGAGAGGGGCTGAGCAACCTCATTGTGGCCATGATGAAAGCAGCTGCCAAGAAGGACTGAGCCCCCTCTCTCCTCTATGCATAATAAACCCTTACGGAAAACTTGTGGTTCTGTTCAGCAGCCTCCCTGGCACTGGGAGGGAGGGAAGGCCCAGTCTGTCCATCTGTTTAGGACCCACCCCTGGGCAGGACCACACACCCTCCTGGGTCTAAGCCCCCATCCCGGGGCAAGGGACTAGGGCAAGGGGCAACAGGCGCAAAAGCAAGGAGTAAATAGTTCATATGCACCATGAGGGGGAAAAAAGGAATTTCATTGAATCTGTAGATGAATTAGGAGAGAATTGCCATCTTACAACATTAAGATATATGGGCATGAGATGTTATTCCATTTACTTAGATCTTTAATTCCTTTCAACAACATTTTGTAGTTTTAGGAGCGTCAGTTGCTCTTCTTCTGTTATATCTATTCCTAAATATTTATTCTTTTTGATGCTATTGTAAATGGAATTGTTTTCTTAATTTAATTTTCAGAATGTTCATTCTAAGTGTATCGACATAATATATTGGTCTTGTATCTTGTAACCTTGCTGAACTTGTTGACTGGTTCTAATGTATTTTAGTGAATCCATAGGATTTTTAATATACATGACCATATAATCTGTGAATTTAGATAATTTTACTTCCTGCTTTTCAATCTGGATGCCATATATGTCCTTTTCTTCCCTAGCTTTCATGGTCACAACCTCTAGTATAATGTTGAATAGAGGTGGGAGAACATACATCCTTGTTTTGTTGCTGATCGTAGGGCAACAGCATATAGTCTTTCAGCATTAAGTATGATTCTAACTAATTTTTTGCAGATGTTTTTTATCATACAAGGAAGTTCCCTTCTTTTCCTTTTGTTGAGTGATTTTTCATGAAAGGTGTTGAATTTTGCAAATGCTTCTTCTACATCTGTTTAGATGATCATGTACTTTTATTTCTTATCATATTCATCTGATACATTACATTGATTTTCAGATTTGTTTTAAGTTTGCTTTTTTTGTAGATGCAGGGTCTCACTATGTTGCCCAGACTGGAGTGCAGTGCCGTGATCACAGCTCACTGCGGCCTCCAACTCCTGTGTCCAAGCTATCCTCTCATCTCAGTCTCTGGAGTAGCTGGGACTACAAGCGTGTGCCACCATGCCCAGCTAATTTTTTTAATCTTTTATAGAGACAGGGTCTGGCTGTGTTGCCCAGACTGGTCTCAAACTCCTGACCTCAAGTGATTCTCCTGCCTTGGCCTCCCAAAGGGCTGGGATTAAAGGCATGAGCTACCACACCCAGCCTGATTTTCAGATGTTAAACCAACCTTGCACTCCTGGAATAAACCTCAATTGATCATGGTATATAATTCTTTTTATATGTTGCTAGATTTGGTTTCCTAGTATTTTGTTGAGGATTATTGTGTCCATATTCATAAGAGATATTTATTTATACTCTTCTTGACTTGTTATATCTTTGTTAACTATTCTTTCTTAAACATAACCACATCATACCTGTCATACATAATATCATACCTAAAAAAGAACTAGCAATTTTTACACAACTTTGAAGATTCAAGTCAGTGTTCTGTTTCTTCCACTGTATGTGATTTTCAGTGGCTCATAAAGAAACTCCCGAGGCCGGGCGCGGTGGCTCACGCCTGTAAATCCTAGCACTCTGGGAGGCCGAGGCGGGCGGATTGCTCAAGGTCAGGAGTTCAAAACCAGCCTGAGCGAGACCCCGTCTCTACCATAAAATAGAGAAATTAATTGGCCAACTAATATATATATATATATAAATCAGCCGGGCATGGTGGCTCGTGCCTGTAGTCCCAGCTACTCGGGAGGCTGAGGCAGGAGGATCACTTGAGCTCAGGAGTTTGAGGTTGCTGTGAGCTAGGCTGACGCCATGGCACTCACTCTAGCCTAGGCAAGAAAGCGAGACTCTGTCTCAAAAAAAAAAAAAGAACCTCCCAAGATCTGGTGAATGAGGAGCTCTGAGCATTAGAAGAAGTGGCAATGGGGTTTGTGTTTGAGAAGAGAAGACCAGATAGGAGAGAGAAAGGACTTTTTTTGAGAGCAAAAACTACTGACTTAGTATAGAAAATAACTACAATCTATTTGGTTCCTGACGACAGAACAGGAACAGAAGAGGAAGTTACAGGGAACCCGATTTGGGATCAGAAAAGGAAGTCCTATAACTTCCTTTTATAATATTCCACTCTTTCAGCATAACATCTGTCACACAACACCAAATATCTGACCACAAAGTGCCATGTAGAAGTGGAACCTTTGCTTTTCTCAGTACATCTTTCCTGCCTTGCCCCACTTCTTCCTCTGTTTATGACACATTAGTTAGCCTTGTTTTATTAGCACAACTTACTGAATCTTTGGGCCTTGCTGGCGATGCCCTACACCCCGACCCCTGACGTTGGATGAATGAATCCTGTTCCCAGGCTGCTGGGTACTGTCAGAGAAAAAAGAAAGAATCACAAGCCTTGAGACTGGAACCATGACACATAGTTTACAGTCTTCAAACTCAGTTGAGTTTTTATTTGACCTTAGTGAAGTAAAATGCTATTCATTTTGTTTTCTCACTTTCCTTATAGTCCAGTCCTCAGTCCACCCCTCTCATTGAATCAATGAAATCAGTAAAGATTTATGGAGTACCTTCCGTGTTTAGACACCGGTTTAGGGGCCGGAGATTCAGAACTGAACAAGAGTGACACTCTCTGGTCTCATTGAACTTTCGACCCAATAATAAACAAAGATATAAATAAAGAAGGCAAGGCCGGGCGCGGTGGCTCACGCCTGTAATCCTAGCTCTCTGGGAGCCGAGGGGCGATTGCTCGAGGTCAGGAGTTCGAAACCAGCCTGAGCAAGAGCGAGACCCCGTCTCTACTTATAATAGAAATTAATTGGCCAACTATATATACTAAAAAATTAGCCGGGCATGGTGGCGAATGCCTGTAGTCCCAGCTACTTGGGAGGCTGAGGCAGGAGGATTGCTTGAGCCCAGGAGATTGAGGTTGCTGTGAGCTAGGCTGACGCCACGGCACTCACTCTAGCCTGGGCAACAAAGCGAGACTCTGTCTCAAAAAAAAAAAAAAAAGAAGGCAATTTCTGATAGAGATAAATGCTATGAAGAAAATAACACAGGATATTGTGGTAGAAATGATGGCGGGAGGGGCTCCTTCAGATAGGGTGACATTTGAGATGAATTCTAAACAATGAAAGCATAGCTGCCATTTTAAGATCTGTGGTTAGAGCCTCAGTGTTATACTCTACTGCTACCACATCTACCCACCAGCATCTTTGCCCAGATGCCCCTGCCTTCCAGTGTGGAACTATATGTTGACTTTTATTGTTTTTACACTAAAACCAACCCCTCCACTTGTGAACTAGGTACCAGTCCCTTTTATCTACTCAATTGCTCTAGGCTGGGCGGGGTGGCTCACGCCTGTAATCCTAGCACTTTGGGAGGCTGAGGCAGGAGATCATTTGAGCTCAGGAGTTCAAGATCAGCCTGAGCAAGAGCGAGACCCTGTCTCTACTAAAAATAGAAAGAAATAAGCTAGACAACTAAAAATATATAGAAAAAATTAGCTGGGCAGGTGGCGCATGCCTGTGGTCCCAGCTACTCTGGGGGGCTCTGGGGCAGGAGGATCACTTGATCCCAGGAATTTGAATCCAGCCTGGGCAACATAGTTAGACCCCCATCTCTAAAAATAAATAAATAAAAACAAGCAAACTGGCCGGCCACGGTAGCTCACGCCTGTAATCCTAGCATTCTGAGAGGCCAAGGTGGATGGATCACTTGAGCTTAGGAGTTTGAGACCAGTCTGAGCAAGAGTGAGACCCCATCTCTACTAAAAAAAAAAAAAGAAATTAGCTGGACAACTAAAAATATATACAAAAATTTAGCCGGGCATGGTGGCGCATGCCTGTAGTCCCAGCTACTCGGGAGGCTGAGGCAGGAGGATCGCTTGAGCCCAGGAATTTGAGGTTGCTGTGAGCTAGGCTGATGCCACGGCACTCTAGCCGGGGCAACTGAGTGAGACTGTCTCAAAAAAAAGACAAGCAAACAACAAAAACAATAGGCCTCTCTTGATGACCCTACTTTGTCCATTTTCTTGCTTCCTTTGAAAGCAAAGCTCCCTTAAAAAGATATTCATACTTGCCTTCCACAGTTCCTCACCTCCCATTCTTTTCAGACAACTCCAATTAGAACTTGGTCCTCACCACTTTAAACTATCCTTCTAAAGGAGACACCTGGCTTTCGAATTGTCAGTCCACTGGCCCATTCTCAGTCCTCATCCCCACCTGGCAGCAGCATTTGACCCACCACATGGCTCTCTCGCTTGGAATCAATTTCTTCACCTGGCTTCCAGGTCCTTCTTCTCTTCTCTCCCACCTCCTGCACAGGCCATTCCTTCTTAGGCTCCTTTGCTGATTCCTTAACGTGGCAGTGTCCCAGGCTCAGTCCTCCGACGTTGAAAAACATATATCCAGTGAGCTGTGATGACGCCACTGTACTCTGGCCTGCGCAACAGAGGGAGATCCTGTCTCAACCATTCAATCCTCAATATTTTAAAATGTATCTACAAAATGAAGTAGCCCCACCTACCAGCTCACATTTATTCCTCTAGCCTCTTTCCAGGGTTAGGATGGGCGGGAATGGAAGTCTTAGGGGCTGGAAGTGGAACCCTTTAGTGATTGTAGTATTGATGTTTTCAAGCTGCTGCTGCTTCTGCTGCTAAAAAGAAACTTTGTTCTGTTATTCCAGATACATGGTGCAAGGAATGCCATAGAAAGTGGAGGAACAAAACTGAATGAAAATAAAAGTATATAATTTTTTTTTTATTTTTATTTTTGTTACCCCTTCAGCCTTGCCCTGGTGCCCTCTAAGCCTCGTTCCTTCACTCCCTCAGCCTCGCCCTGGCTCTCTTGCCCTCTCCAATTTTTTTTGTTTTAAAAAGCAAGATTTGATCTATATGAAAGAATAAGTTCTCTACTCACAGAATTTGTTGAAGTCCTGTGTACCAGCCAGGTTCTCACTACTTCTAGGGCTGTAGCTACAAAAAAAAAAAGGCACCTGTGCAATGTGTAGGGGAAAGGTTTTTGTTATGGTGCCGAGTGCGAGAAAAGACCACCGAGTCTGAATTAAATTGAATTTGTGAGCCTTTATTAGCTGGCCAGCAACTGTTCCTGTCTTGCCAGACGCAATCACAGAGAACAGCCCCGAGCCATGATGGCACAAAGCTTTCATACTATTTTGGGTTGGGGGCCACGTGACTGGAGGCACATAATGGAGTCAGGGCCGAGGTAACTACAGGCACATAAGTGAGAGTATCGTTTTCTACATTTTATCATGTTCTCTCCAGATGGCAGGAGCCCGGGCCAGCCTTGAGCCCCTGCGCCGAGAAAGATCTCAAAGCAAGCTGTTTACAGAAGCAGATAGCGTCGGTTAGTCTGGGCTACAGTAAAATGTTACAACATGCGGCTGGCAGAATATGCATTCAGGTACAAGTGGATTGCCTTGCTTTCTTCTACAACTAGAACTTTATTTTAGCTGACCTCAACAGTTTCGGATGCTAAAAACTACAAGCATCTGTCAAGACGAACTGAGGAAATTTCTGGATTTCTGTATGATTTTATCTTCTGCTTTGAATTTTCAGGGCATACGTACGTATCGTAGATGTCCGAGTTACAAAATGACATATCTTAAGACAAATGATTAAGTTTAAACCACAGGGGAAATGTATCTACACTCACACCCTTAGTGATCTCATCAAATATCATGACTCAGGCCCCAAACCACTGAGTCGTCCTTGAGCCTCCCTTTCTCTTATGTTACACACTTGATACGTACAAGTTCCTATGAACTCTGCCTTCATAAAATGCACATCATTTGACCATTTCCCCCACCTCCACTGCTACCACCCTGACCCAACTACCACCATCTTTTTGTGGGAGTTTTCTTAAACAGCTTTATGTTGACGTGTAATTCACAATACATAAAATTCACCCTTTTAAAGTGTTCAATTCATCAGTGCTTAGTATATTACCAGAGTTGAGCAACTATAGCCACTATTTAATTATAGGATATTTTATCACCTGAAAAAGAAACTGTATACCCCATTTAAAGGTCACTCCACCTTCCTGACTCCAGACCTAAAAAACCACAAATCTTCTTTCTGTCTCTATCCACTATCATTTCTTGACTGGGTTATTAGTAAAGCTTCCTAACTGGTCTTCTAACTTACCCTCTATAGTTCATTTTCAACATGGCAGCCAGAGTAATCCTTTTAAAATGAAACCAGTTATGTTACCCTCTGCTCAATATCCTCCTGTAGCTATTTCATCTGAGTAAAAGCCAAGCTTTACAGTGGCCTGTAAGTGGCCTTTTAAACAACTGTGGCCCCTTATTATCTCTCTGATCCTATCTCCAATATCTTCCAGGGCCTTTGTATTGGAAGATTGCTCTGGCTGGGCTGCTCTTCCAGCAGATAACTGCAAGGTTCACTCTCTCATCTCCCTGGAATCTTTGCTCAGAAGTCACCTTCTCATGTGAGGTCTATTCTACCCACAACTATAAACTTGCAATCCATCCAACTGGGGCTAGCTTTGGAAAAAAAGAAAAAACAAACTTACAATCCTTCACCCTCACCCCCAGCACACCTGATCACTTTGGCCCTGCTCTATTTTCCCCACAGCAGTTACCATCGTCTAACACACCCTATGCTTTATTTTCCCTACTGTGATGTAAGGCACTTTAAGAACAGGGACTTTTGCCGCTCTGTTCACTGTAAGTGCTTTGTTCTCAACACTTACAATAGTGCATGCCAAGTAGTGGGAGTTTAGTATTAATAAACAGTTGTTGAATGGATGAATAAATGAATGACAAAACAGTTCCAGGCAGAAGGAAGAACGAGAGACAAAGGAACAAAGGAAAGAATGACTAGACTATGTTGGGGTGGTGGCGATGTGTGGTGTGGAGATGATGATGGAAAAGGAGGAATAAAGGCTGCTGACCACGTCTCCCTTAGTTCCCCACCTCAAGTTCTGAGTTCTCCTCCTATTTATCTGTCTCCTCTGAGGATTCTGCTTCCTCCATCCTGAAATGTTGATGATATTTCCCATGGTTCCTTCTTTAGCTCTCTCTCTTCTTATTTTATTTCTTCCTGGCCTGGGTGAGCTTACTTATAGCTATGGCTTCCACAGCCACTTCTACACTTCTACACTGGCTCCCAAATTCTTATATCCAGCCCAAACCTATCTCCTCTGCTCTAGCCCCTGTGGCCAACTGCCTGCTGGACTTCTCCACCCAAGGGGTCACGAAGGCACTTCAAGTTCTTAAGCAACCTTCCCCCAGTCTTCTTTTCCTTCCCATGAGCTGAACTATCATCACCTAAGCCAGAAACCTGGGGCATCTCTATGTCTTCACCCCTATCTTCCACATGGTCCCTGTAGGATTTTCCAAACACATGCACACCAGATTCACCTGAGGTGGAGGATTGCTTGAGGTCAGAGTTCGAGGCCAGCTGAGCAAGAAATCCTGTCTCTGCAAAAAGGAGAAAAATTAGCTGTGCATGGTGGTGTGAGCCTGTAGTCCCAGCTACTCAGGAGGCTGAGGCAGGATCACGTGACCCAAGAGTTTGAGGCTGCAGTGAGCTATGGCAACGCCACTGCACTCTAGCTTGGGCAACAGAGCAAGACCCTTGCCTCCAGCCTCCTGAGTACTGGGACTTACAGGCGCACACCCACCCATGCACAGCTAATTTTTCTCCTTTTTGCAGAGACAGGATTTCCTTGCTCCAGCTGGCCTCGAAT